TAATGTCTTCGGGGGGTGCAAACCCCTGGTGCATTTCGGCTGGGTTAGGGGTTAGTCTCTCGGGACGCATCGCGCGTCGGGAGTGGGAGAGAACCTCTCGGAGAGGGTGAGCACGCATTTCTTTTACGTCGGTCGGCTCCTTTTGTTTGGGGCTCGTTGGGACTTCGCCAACGGTGCCTAGCGCAAGCTCACCTTTCGTTGCCCTTTTCGAACGCTAGGCCAGAGAGCGGGGCGGTGTCTGTGCGCTTGGTCGTACTACGCCAACGCCTCCTAAAAAAATGTCTGGAACGTGAGCCACGAACGCGCTGCCCTACCCTGTGATTTTGCCCTCCTTCTTCGGTACGAAGGCGAGCGTCTCCGACGGCCGCCCCCTGCGAACACAGCAACGCTGTCACAGTTGCCATCGAGCAGCCGCGATGTCACATGGCAGTGGTACGGTTATGTCACGTGACTGAGTGGTACGGCGGCGAGCGGTCTCACCCGGCGGCCGGTCGCAACACAGGGCAGGAGGCATGGCCTCAGAGATGGCGTGCTGGCAGGAGGCTCCCAATTGAAAAGAAAGCGACGTTCCAGGCATGGTTTTTTTAGAACGCGTTTACTACGCCGACCCGTACCTTGCCCCGCCGTGGTGGTCTAGTGGCTAAGGTACTCTGCTGCTGACCCGCAGGTTGCGGGATCGAATCCCGGCTGCGGCGGCTGCATTTCCGATGGAGGCGGGAATGTTGTAGGCCCGTGTGCTCAGATTTGGTTGCTCGTTAAAGAACCCCAGGAGGTCAAATTTTCCAGGGCCCTCCTTTACGGCGTCTCTCATAATCATATGGTGGTTTTGGGACGTTAAACCCCACATATCAATCAATGACCCCTGCCTTTCGAAGCTAACGCGAGTGAATTTGGCCCTCGCTCGAGCGACCAGGCTTTGTTGTCTCCGTGTCACCGTTTCACGGGGATTTGGAGCCGGCACGCTGGCCGACATGCAGTTAATGCCTATGTTGGTACTGCAGGTTAGTGAACACTGTTCTTTTCATGTACGTAGATTACTTTGTGCACTGCCGGCTCCTCCCACGACAACATGCTCTGCTTGTAGTTGTAGCAAACGAGTGAAAGAACGTGCTCACCATAGGAGATTCCGTTTGTTTCCTAACCGGGTACTGTATTTGATTCTATTACTGCTGCTTTCCGGTGATGTAGAGATAAATCCTGGCTTCCGCAGTGAAACTGAACTAGAATTGTTCAAGAGTTTGCAGGCAAGTCAGAACAGCATCATGAAGAAGCTGGATACTATCCAGGAAGAACTAGCGAAACATGAAGCTATGCTCTCTGAAATAAGCCATAAATTAGGCAAAGCTGAAGGACAGATTGAAGTTATTAACGAGACAGTAGAACAGCATGGAAACGTGGTCAAACAGCTCGAAGAGAAAGTTCAGGAACTGCAAACAAAAGACGTCGACCTTGAATATAGAAGCCAAAGGGCCAACCTGGTCTTTTATGGCATTAAAAATGACATGGGAGAGACGTGGCAGCAGTCTGAGGAACCGATTAAGGACAGCTGTCTAACTCGTCTTGCAATAGAACTGACGTCAGTACAAAGAGCACACCGTATCGGTCGATTCAACAAGAAGTTCAACCGGCCAATTGTTATTAATTTTTTTTCCGGCAAGGAAAAAAATGGATGCTAAGAAATTCAAAGGGTCTGATTACAGTGTAGATCAGGACTACGCACCAGAAACACGAGAAATCTGAAAACGATTGTGGAAACTAATTGTTGATGGCAAGGCCTTCACGTGGGACAAAGAAAAAGAAAAGGTAGTTCCAGCTCTAAAGAAGTGACACCTTGCTTGTAAGACCGCCTCATCCTCACGCAACCTAACAGCTGTTGTTGTAAACTGCAGAAGTATTGTGAATAAAATAGATGAATTTGCGGGCTTAATTGAATCAACGAAGGCAGAAATAGTTTGGGACAGAATCATGGCTGATACCGTCAATCAATGATAGTGAGGTGTTTCCTAGCCGCTTTAACGTTTACCGAAATGATAGGGCAAGAACAGGCGGAGGGGTATTTTTGTTAGTTCACTCTTCCTTACGGTCATCTGAACTTGATATCGAGCACGATGCCATAGAATCGGTCTGGTGCATGAAATCGGTCTGGTGCATGAAACGTTTTATCGACAACCAAATTCTGACCCCTATACGTTGCAGCAACTGTACGTCATAATTTACAGAACATCAGATCAGTTTATATTTGCGGGTGATTTCAATCTACCGTATTTGATGTGGTATAATGGAACATGTCTCACCTTGACTGGTTGTCGCGAAAACATCAGCATGAAAAACATCGTTGATACGTTCGGTCCTACTCAATACGTTACTGTGGCCACAAGGAATAATAACATTTTAGATTTGCTTTTTTGTAATTCGCCAAATATTGTACACTCTGTCACGTGTACACCCGGTATCAGTGACCATCTCGCTGTTGTAGCAACTCTTAAACATGAGATCAGAAGACCCAAGCCCCGCCAATCGAAGAAGGTATATTTTTATGATAAGGGTGATTATTCTGCTATTTCTCAGGAATTATTTGCTCATTTGCCTGTTTTTAATTGTCATTGCGAGAGCGCCGATGTTTTACAACTCTGGTTTCTATTTAAAACGAAAGTCGTAGAACTAACAGAAAAGTATGTGCCAAGTACAAACGCGGTTAAACTCAAAAAGTTCAAAAAGCCATGGGTGACACCAGCGATTTTTAGATTAATTAGGAAAAGACGACGAGTATACAAGGCATTTAAAAGAACCCATAGTAGTTATCGTTACACCAAGTTAGTCAAGATAACTAATGAATATAAATCTAAAGTTCGTAGCGCAAAGGATCAATACTTGAATTGACTAAACGAAAGTATAAAAACGAATGCAAAGCTTTTTTTGAGATACGTAAGAAACTGTGGAGCTGATTCAACCGGAGTAAACGAAATTTTCCATGATGATCAGATCTGCTCCAGCGATATTCATAAAGCGTCGTGTCTTAATGATTTCTTTCACTCTGTATTTTTACCTCAAACGGATTTTGAGAAATTATCTATGCTGGCAGAGCCACCTCTGGGAACTCGGCCATTAATGCCGCCAATTGAACTCTGTGTGAGTGGTATCGAATCCCTTTTAAAAAATATAGACGAAAGCAAGGCCCCTGGTCCAGATGGTATTTCCCCACGCGTGTTGAAGCGCTGTGCCTGGACTATAGCATCTTATCTTTACCTAATATTTGAAAAATCTCTCTCTACTGGAATTCTGCCTGAGGACTGGAAAATGGCTTTCGTGGTTCCCATTCACAAGGGTGGTTCCAAAAAAGAGGCCAACAATTATAGACCTATTTCATTAACATCCATTCCCTGCAAAATACTAGAGCACATTTTCTATAAAGACATAATGAAACACTTAGTTCAACATAAATTATTAGTTGATGATCAACATGGTTTCCACAGGGGCCTGTCTTGCACAACACAGCTGATTGAGTTCTACCATGATTTAGTGTCCGAGGTTGATGACAACGGTCACACAGACTGTGTTTTCTTAGTTTTCAGAAAGGCGTTTGACACCGTGTGCCATCCCTTGCTTCTTCGCAAACTCCAAAGGGCAAATATTGATAAGAAAGTACTGAATTGGATAGCCTGTTATCTATCACAGCGTCGACAATGTGTCATTCTCAATGGTACTACTTCTTCTACAGTGGAAGTAACATCGGGTGTCCCTCAAGGGTCCGTTTTAGGGCCGCTACTGTTTTTAGTTAACATTAATGATATTTCTGATGGCATTACTACTCGAATACGTTTATTTGCTGGCGACTCGGTTGTGTACAGAAAAATTAAAAATGAACAGGATCGCATTGAATTGCAGGCTGACCTTACCCGAATTTTGCAATGTTGTGATAAGTGGAAAGTGCAACTTAATGCGAAAAAATGTGTGCACGTGTCTTTTACTAAAAAAAAAAAGAAAAAGGATGAAGCGCGTTACTTTTTAAATGGTGACGTCATTGATCATCAATCAATGTATAAGTACTTGGGCGTAACACTTACGAGCGACTGACTGTTCATGGAATGCGCATGTGCATGCTGTAGTTGCAAAAGCTGCCAGAGCCCTAAATTTCATTCAACGAAATCTGAGATCCTCCCCTGCTGTCCTAAAAAGTACTGCGTATATTTCATTTGTCTGCCCGATTTAGGAATATGCATGTTGTGTGGGGGATCCGCGCCGAAAGTCCTTGATTGATCTGATCGAAAAAATACAGAACAGAGTGGCAAGGTTCGTTCTCAGTCGGTATAAGCCAGGCGGCAGCTGTACTGAAAGGCAAAACGAGCTGGGATGGGAAGCGCTCTCCTCTCGCAAAAGCAAATTGCGTTTGAAATTGTTATTTCAGATATATCATAAGAAGACTGGCATCAATAAAGACACTTACCTTAAACCACCGCATTATATGTCTAGAAGCTCTGATCATGACCTTAAGATTCAAGAATACCGGACTGGAACGAACCATTATGCTAATTCTTTTTTTGTTCATACTGTACAAGAGTGGAATCAATTGTCTTGTGACCAAGTGTGCTGTCATAACGAAGACTTGTTTTTTTCAAAGCTGTAACCCCCACGCTTACACGCCTTTGGGCAAAGCAGAGTATTTCAGAATAAATAAATAGTATCTTTTGCCCACGGAGACGTTCTCATGTCACTTAGTGTAGTACTTCTCGCCCGTGGCGTGGATAAGCCTATTTGCTTTCCTGCCACTAGGAATGCCACTAGGAACGAAAAAAACTGAATACAAAAAATGTATACTGCACTTGCCATAATTTTGTTTGCCCTGATTTGTGTCAGTTTTGAACATGTCGATGTTATCTTGCATTGTTTGCACTTATGATTTGTTGAAAAATGTTGGCCTTCATTGTATAAAGTATGTTGTGTAGAAGTCGACACATGACTGAGCGCATGTTAAGTGCTTATGAACATTTTTCTGGTTGCAGCTCACAGAGGTGACGATGAGCTTGACAGGGCAGTGGTAAGTAGCTTTCAAACAATGCGTCTGTCTGTCTGTCTACACGTGCGTGCGTGCAGGCAGGCGTGCACGTCGGGGCCGCTGTTTTTACACACATTAAGATCTTCAGTTTTACTTGTTCATTTTGATGTTGTCAGTGTGCCTGCTTGTGTGCAAAGGCTTATTTTTGAGCCATAGCAGCCTGGGCAAAACCAAAATTTCAAATCCCCCTCACCTTCAACCCCCGTCGCATTGGCAAGGAGATGGTGGTGTGGTTCAGTGTTGTTCCAAAGTTGCCACTGGGTGCAATGAAACGGGCACAGCTTTTTAACTTTTGTGATTGACATCTGCAGTAGTTATTAGGGCACTGGCACAGAATTGATGCGATTGCTTAAAGGGCCAGTAAAGAGGCTCTGACTTTATTTTACGCCCCTCAAACAAGCTCACTAATTTGTACAGTAGACTGTGGAGATCACATTTTCCAAATGTTACACCGCCGTGTGCCGTGCACACCCTCCATTTCGAAAAACAACTTCTGTGCCAATTTTCTCCGCCTGACCAATCCCTCTTGTACACGTAGTGATGCAAGCTTGCCCATGGACAACTTTATGTACCACTGAGCTTGTTGATTGGTTCTTTACCCATTCGAAATGATGCCTTGGCCATGCAGGGGGGCAGTTTGAGCCGTGCAGTCTACATTTTCATTTTCCTGTGCAACCTCTGTTCTTTATTAGAGCCTGAAACTACCAGGAGAAGCAGTATTGTTATAAGGAAAGCCTCCGAGATGAAGAGGTGTCTTGCTGCATTACCGATAGAGTAAGGGTATGAAGCACGTAGCCTCTAACCGCGCTTCCTCCCCTCGCCTCTATGACATGTTGGCGATGTCCTGCTCAGTTGTTAGCTGTGCGCCGATGGCGTGTAGGTGATGTCGTGTCACGTTGCCAAGATGCGCAGTTGCAACGACGAGCTATGCCTTCCCCCCCTCCCCATGGCGGAAAAGGGTGTCAAGGCCGCACAAAAACATGTGGACTTTCTAACCCCTGTAATTTGCTTGTCATAGCACATATTCGCAAAACTCTTGCGGCAGCATGTTCACGTAGCAAAAGTGCACATATTTCTCTTCATAACAATTTTTGTACCTCGTGGTTGTTTACTGGCCCATTAAGTCCTGAAAAATTTGAGGAGTAGCAATTTTTATTTTTGTTTTGAGGCAGATTCAGTACTCTCCACTTCTTGAAACCAAGACATTTGAAATTGACGCAAATTCACAAATTAAATTAGGCACTGCAGCCTTGTCACACAGACATATGCACATCAGTGCTTGCTCATTGCTTTAAATGAGATTGTTGTTTTGTGTGTGTGTGTGTGTGTGTGTGTGTGTGTGTGTGTGTGTGTGTGTGTGTGTGCCATATAAATAACCATTGCATTTGAGTCTTTTTTTGTGCCAAGCTTGTCCAGCTAGACAACCATGCTGAATCGTTTAACTGAGCTATGTCATTGTAGACTGCCTTCATTTAGTAACCTGGCCCCCATTATGTCCATCATTTTAGTATTGAATTAAGTGTGTCCATCAAGTGGTGGCTTTTTTTTTGCATTTGTGATACTTTCTTTTATTGTATGAGCTGATATGTGCAATGAGGGGGTTCTACCTTTTTTTTTTTTTCAATGACGTTTACCTGAAGCATTCCAACATCAATGATGCGGAAGCGGTGAGTAAATGTAGACGCACTGCACTGCTTAACTGGGGGTTCAGTGCATGGTTTGTGCATGTCTTTGAATATTGTTTGTATTGCAAAAGAACTGCATGTGCCTTGTCAGTATTTGTAGTATGGTCATGACAGGGAAATGTTTGCAACTGAGCAACAGATATGCAAATACTTGATTTGCTGTGAAGGCTAGATGCCAAAAAGTTTTCAACTTCAAAAAATCCCCTAAAACTGGCTTTTGTCACTTTCAAAAGGATCGTTTTTGATGCAGAATTGGGAGGGGGGGGGGGAATATTGAGACTTAGATTGCACATCGTTTTTGGTAGTAGCTCCAAGATTAGTGACACTTTTATACTTGCACAGCTGCTAAGTGTAATGCATAGGCACTATTAACTCTCCTGCGGTCCTAAACTATTTCCCACCTTCTGTCCATTCTAGGTCCGATACTAACCCTCGTATTCAAACACATAACTTAAACTTATATTATGACTTAGTCAATCTTGGCCATAAGTCAGCCCAGTAATGCATTTCAAGAACCTACCTTGTACTTATCAGGGAACTTTCCTCGTACTTGAGTAAGGCTTCGGTTAAGGTAGCTTATGACCTATCTTTAGGCTTCCTGAAAAACATCGCGGGGGACGACAACTTGGGGCATATTATGTGGATTGCAAAGAAGAAATATTTAACGGCATAGCATACGCATAGACGTCACCGCCGAGGCGAGTCCTCAATGATCGACGAAACGTGGTTGAGACGAGCAGGAGTTGTTGGGACGTCCCCACTTCACAAAAAGTGCCATGAAGAATCTTATCGCTGGGCTGTTTCTGTGGGGAAAGTATCTATAGTCGTGGGTTGTTGTGCCCCATCTCTCACCACACTTTTATGAAGTTGGCATGTTTCAACTTAGGAGCGATGGCCTTGTCAATGTCTCGTAGCTGACTGTGTCACGAGTAATACCTGCTATGGTGTCAAAAACACTACTTCCCATACCAGTAGAACTTCCTGAAGTGGTGCAAACGATTTAGTTGTTTGGTCAGGCTGTTCACTGGATGCATAATGTGTTGATTGTTGAATTCTATCGGAAACTGTTTTCATGTTTTTCGTTTTCTCTGAAGGCACACAGCGTCCGTCTTGGTAGTTGTTCACAAAATCAGTCGATACGTAGCCACTTCGTAGGTGAAGTTTACTTCAGTGCACCGTTCCACAGTAAATGCAACTTCGTTAAAGAAATATTGTAAAACTACTCAAACTGTCATATAAATCTAGTAAAGTTAAAGGAAAAAAAGTGAGAGAAAATAGGAAACGCTGAAGCGAGCACGATAACACCCCTGAACAAAGCAAAAACATGCAAGAAATCGAAATAACAAAGTTGACCTGACCAGCCCCTTGTGTCGATAAAGTCGCAGAAGAGTGGCCACACGAAAAATGTTATTTCACTGAAAACTGCCGGTGCCTAAATAAACATTGTTACTGTTTACATTGCCCTGCTTCTGCGCGTACTATTGGTTTCTTGCAATAAAGGTAATTTATTACTGCTCGAGGTATTGATTTTGTCGCACAAGTTTACCTACCTTCACACCCAGGACCTGTACTTGACGAGTTTAGGACGCCTTTCATAAGGTGCCCTTATGACGGCATAAGGGAGATTCTTGAAATGCACTCTGTACACTTTTTTCGTCCTTTCGTAAGTAGCTTTGCCGTCATAAGTTAAGGTCGGTATATGAATACGGCAGTAAGACTCAAGTAGAAGAAGTCTACCTACTCTTTCATAGATGGCATGTAATACAGGGACAAAACTTGCACATGAATAAACCACGAAAGAACGTGTACAGTAGGGCTTGACCACAGATTGATTTGTCAATGTTGTTTTGGGGCAGCGCCCGACAGATGATATCAAAAGTGGTACAAACACCAGTTTTCGATGTTGAGTTTATATGGATCTTATACAGAGATGGCTCTGAGCAGATGTAAAGCATAGTTAACGCTTATACGCACTACTTTTACAGTGAAAGCTGTTATGAGATCACAACTCGGGTCACACGCAGTTTTCCGCCGCCGCCATTTCCAGTGTCCGCAACCCCATTGCGCGAAATTGGGGAAAAAAAAACTAGCATCAACGACACAGTAGGGCTCGAAACCTGGATCTGCTGGGTGCCAGCTCAGTATTCTACCACTGAGATACGCCGGTGCTCGTGACTTGTTGGAAAACTTACCTTAGGCAGGCTTGATGTTGGGAAAGCAATCACGTTAATACGAAAACTTACCTTAGGCAGGCTTGATGTTGCGAAAGCAATCACGTTAATACGATTCATAAAGCATTTTAAAACAGCGAAAGAACAACCAGTCATCGCACAATGCGAATAGCGTAACCAGTGGGCCGTTCAATGCTTCAGCTCATTACAAAAGCTTGTTCTTGTTCCCCTATTAACTGGGGCGCATAGCCATTTCAGCCATAATTTTTCCTCGTCGTCAGCCACTGCATGAACAATTAGCAAGAAATGCCTTGTAAGTGCTTAGCGGATATAAGCTTCTCAGAAGAATGACGAAAAATGGCATAGCGAATGCCAGCCTATTACCCAAAAGTTTATTATTAATTCCCTAGTGGGGGTTAAGCAAATGTGCTCGCAGTAGTTACCCAATGAGTGCTCTGAAAAGGCTCTGAAAGGCCGCTGTTGTAGCTTTCGCTATGACATTGCTGCGCCTTCCGCGCAGGCCTGGCGTTTTTTCCCTCATGGCGTGCCTCCTACTGACAGACTTTTGTGACGTTAAGCTGCAGTATCAAGTCTGGTGATTTCGCGCACCAGTATGGCTAAATTCAATAGTCAATTTCGTGCCAGAATCATGACCACACTGCAAACTACCCTAGTTTCAGCGCCCGTCCTGTGTATATGTCTTTTCCTTTGCAGTGTGGGCGAGATTTTCGCGCGAAATTGACTATTGAATTCAGACATGCACCATTGAGCCCGATTGCGAGTACCACTACTAGCAGTATGGCTAGCAGTGATGTCAAGTGCGAAAGTGAAGCGACCACTTGCATATTGTCATTGAAGCTAGGACAGCTAATAGAGCAGTTGTGTAAACATCTAATATATTGTGCCAGCACTTGAGAAGCTAATACATTTTGGCACTTTGGGTGGCAGTAGGAACGAAAACCACTTTTTAAAATTGTGGTGTAATTAATTTTACATGGTTCTTTCATGCTCTTGAGGGCTTGACCTATCATTTGACTCCAAAAGTTGAAAATTTTCAAGGTCATACTCCTTTAAGTCCTATTAACCCAGGAGCTTTGCAAAAGTTGGATCAGTCATATGGAATGCTCGTGAATTACCTATTTAAGTCAAAGTTGAAATTTCGCTAAAGCTTGTCCTGACACACTCGTTCTTTGTGCAGTTTGCTGAGTGCTCTGTTGCAGTACATTTCTCCCATTGCGCGCAGGTAGAGATGATTGCTGGAGCTTCTGCAGGGTTCTTGTACTTCGTGTGCATCTCTGTGGCTCTGAACCGTTTATCTGGCATTCTTGGTTCCCTTCTTCCTAAATGTGGGGTTGGCAAGAAAGAGTGGCACATGCATTTTATTTCGGGGCTGGAAGTGGCTGTTTGTTCACTCATGCTTTACAGAGTCGCTGTAAAGTGGTCGGTATAGGCGCTTACTCCGAGCATGGCTGTTTGTTTTGGCAGACCTTGGCAAATCGCCATTTGTTAGACTGGTACTGTGCATAGGCAAGAATGCCATTTCTCAACCAAAGTACTTTGAATCGCAGATTATCAATTTCAAATACTCCCACCTTGCCTTTACTGCCCACACAAGGGTTCAGAATTGGTGAGAACTTTTAAGCTGCAGTTCTTTTTGGTGGTCAGGTTAAGTGATGTATGGTAACTATGGCGGCATAACGGGGTAAGTATGGCATATTGGTGCGAAATTCCCCCAAACAGGATGTTTTAAATAGTAATAGTGAGCCTTGCGTGGTAAAGGACCTAGATTTTTTTTACTGATTAACAGAGACCATAAAATGTCAAGTGGAATGGGGAAAGCCTCTTTTAATCATCAGTGGCAGAAGTGGTATAATTGCATCAACTTTGCTAATAAGTGCTATAATCAAGCACTGTAAACGTAGTAGCTATCAGAGTGCAGCTTTGTGAATATGTGGATTTTTTATTACTGTACAATGAAGAACGAGATTTCAGTCTTGCACCAAAAGTCAATTAATTTTTCTAATGGCCAAATTGTGCAGCTGGCTGCACAACTTTTGAGGGCATTAAGTTTGCAGAGAAAAGAGAGCAGGCAAAGAAATGTAGTCCATAGTTTTGGAAAATGTTCTCACTTCTTCAAAAGAACTAAGGAATACCAGTAAAACACCTGTGTGTGTAAGTGATGTGGTGATTGTCCTTTTACAGAGTTTAGGGAAGGCTTCGAAAAGGGCCAGCAGCGCACCTCCGAACCGACGGGCAGTGTTGGCAACACCCATCAAGCCTGCACAGCAGCCCTCAACAGCCACAACTCCTGCCAGTGAGTGCTCGTGTCTGTGCGCTGTTTAGCCAGAAGACGGATGATTAACGGCACAGGAATAATAGGGTGTGCTTACAGCGGTAATTTATTTACATGTCCCAGGCAGCTGACTTCTTCATGCCACTTAAATATATGTCGTGCTCTTTAATGCAGAGTTGCAACTTGATAAACAGATGGCATGTGTGTAAGGAACAGTTGTGCAATTGCATAGTGAGTTAGCAGCTGATATTTGCAGTGAAGAGATGAGTGGTACTATCTCAAATTGGCACCTGTCAGCATGAATTTGTCTACTCCAATTTTTCCCGATTTTAACAGTGATCTAAATGTTTACTGACTTTTCTTCATCAAACTGTGTCCATGGTGAAATACTAAATAAATGCATAAGTGTGGTTGTTTGATAGCTGGCATCTGAAATCATTGCCATAAAATATTTGCAAAGCAGCAGTTGCCACTAGTCTGTGTCTTGTTGTAAATAGCTGGAGAAAATAATTCAATAGTGATTGCAGCTTGATTTGAACGGCCTTTAGAAATGCTATACTTTGAAACTGCATATCTATTATATTGGCTCTAGAGCACTGTGTTGGAGGCTTGCTGTAGCAAGATGTGGTGTAGCCCATGCAAATGCTGTTCTAGTTTTTCATTTGAGGTGTTGGGAATTTTTCGGCACATCTTTTTTTTGTTAAATCATCCTAACAGCACCCGAGTCATTAGCAAACCCTTCAGTAATCTCTGTTCCAAGTAAAAAGTTTAATAGCGTTGTGCTTAAACTGAATAAACCAAGGGTCAACTGAATACAGTGCACCAGAAATGGTTAAGGTGCTTCGCAAGGTTTTTTTTTTTTCAGCCTGAATAAACAAGTTCTGTTTTCACATCTTCCACATAACCACCATCAAAGTGGCATACTTTAGGTTGATAAAATACTTTAATTTAAAAACTAATTTTATTAGTTTCAATCATACAGGTTGATTACAACAAACCATGGTTGCGACCTTTGCAGAAATATTTACTGGCCACTTTCTTGAAACTTTGACGTGAGATACGTCTTTGGTTGGCTGAGAAAAAACTGCACTTTTTCCGAGATTTGACCAGTATATTTAGGTTTCTCTTTATTTGTGTTTGTTTTTATATTCCCATTTCATTTGTTTGTGTTAACAACTCTTTTCTTTTTCTTTGCCAAGCACTCACCAGAAAGCATAGCTTGAAAGGCCCTCCTCCTGTTAAGGCCGCTGTTTCAGGTATCTAACATGTTTCTAACACTTAATTGTAATTGTGCTTTGGCATATTCTGTGCATGTGCATGTATAAAAACTTACTCCTGCGTTTCACGTCGAAAATACACCGAAAACACGTGTAGCAAAAGTGCGTTACCACATATAGCGAAGTGCATTTTAATAACGCCTCATGAACACAAACATCTCTGATAAACCACGGCATCTCCTACTAGTAAAAATACTCTTACGAGGTTTAATTATGTACATTTTTTTGTTGCATATTGAAATGCAATGAGATTTATGCATAAGAATGCATAATTTATGAGTGCGTGCAAATATGGCATAATATGAATGTAGAATGTGTGTAAAATTAGCTTTATCAGATTATCAATGTGCATGTCCAGTGCAAAGGCTGCTGTTTAATCACATATTCACATTTAGCTCTTGTTCCGCTTTTTGCAAGAAGCTGGCATGCCAATTAAAAAAAAATGGTTAGGTGTTCTGAAACTTATTATTCATATCATTAGTGAGTGTTATAGAAGTACAGTGGACTCTCAATAAACGAAACTCGCTTAAACGAAAATTACTTATTAACAGAACTAAACGGGCTCATATAGCTGGATTTCTATTTGTTGCGCAGTAAAATTCATCGGTTAATCGAAACTGTACTGATTGGTCACCTACGGTTAAACGACACACTCTAAACACAGCATAGACTCGCTCAAGCTAAAGGTAGTCTCACAAACATGGCAACACCTTAAAATCGAGACAAGCCAATCCAGTAGTCATTCTCGCTTGTGGCTGTGGGAGCCGAGTCGGCGAGTGAATTGTGCGTTAGGCCTATTTGTGCAGCTAAGTGTGGTGAATCACGGCGTTATTTCGGCCCGATGGAAAGGAAGCGGCCGCACCATGCACTCTCGTTTGAAAAAAAGCTGCAAATTCTTCAGGAGCTCGATCGAAGCGGATCTGGAAAGATGTCCCGCCGCGGTGGTCTAGTGGCTAAGGTACTCGGCTGCTGACCCGCAGGTCGCGGGTTCGATGCCCAGCTGCGGCGGCTGCATTTCCGATGGAGGCGGAAATGTTGTAGGCCCTTGTGCTCAGATTTGGGCGCACGTTAAAGAACCCCAGGTGGTCGAAATTTCCGGAGCCCTCCACTACGGCGTCTCTCATAATCATATGGTGGTTTTGGGACGTTAAACCCCACAAATCAATCAATCAAAGGATCTGGAAAAACGGAGAAAATATTGAAGGCACTATTAAGAACGGAAAATTTACATCGAAACAGATGCGAACGGCGCCTTATCAACAACTAGAAAAAGTTCTTTTTCTGTGGTTCAAGCGTGCACGGAGTTCCAATTTTCCCATAAGCGGACCAATTCTCAAGCAGAAAGCTCGAGAGATCGCCATGCAATTGGGTGTTAAGAACTTGTCCTAAGCGACGGATGGCTCAGCCGCTTCAAAACACGCCTTGGCTTAGTCTTCAAAGCAATCTCAGGTGAAAGTGGTGTAGTCAACAGGAACATTTCCACCGACTGGCAACAGGGGCGGTGTTGGATAGTGTGGCGGGCGCACCGCACGGAGCACACAGGGCACGATGCTAAAGCGCCGCTCGACACGAGGTACGAAGCAGCTGGTAGCCAAGCAGGAACTCTTTTATGTACACAAGCATGCCGTTATATACTTATGTACAACGCCCTTTAGGGGCCAGCCAGCTGGTTCCAAAACTGGAATCGAAGCCACGACACCACATACATTCCCCCCCTTGAATTGAAGAAGAGCACACGGTGTCCTACCAGCGAACACATTGCCTAATGATAATGAAAATAGTACATGCATGCATACCAAAAATACAACAGTATATCAGGCAAAGACAAATACACAATCGAATAAAAATGTACGGTATACACAGACAAGTAAGAAATTGCACAATATAACACGTAAGCAAGCACAGAAAGACAAAACACGCATTGCACAGCATACCAGCGAAAAGAAATGTACAGCGCACACAAATGCAAGGCACACGCCGCACACCACCCTATCCCCTCACCTGAGAGAGGATGTCTGCATATTCACTGTCTCGCTTAAGTCTACGATGTTGACGCCTGCAGTGGTGCCATTTCCACGACAGGCACTGTTCGCCGCCCAAAGCAGTCCAGTAGCACATCAGTATTGGCCCATGTGCTGTCCTTCCAGTGTACTTCTGGCACAGTAGGGGCTGGAACAAGCATGGGCTGAAGCTCGGGCGGGACATGGCTCGGCGCCACCGATGCAGGCGCCATGCACAGAACAGGAACTGGCATGGCCGACGCATAGGCGACCAGTCGAAGCACCTCCGCCGCATGCAGAACAGGGACTGACTTTGGAATCATGGCTGGCAGGCTTGGTGGATGCAGCTCTGGCGGATTGAAAGCTGAAACAGCATCCCGGAGACCACCACCAGCCGAAAGATGCACAGCCGGGGCAGAATCAGCAGTAGGCTAGACGGTAGAAGCAGGCAATGCGGGAGCAGCTGGCACGACCGGAGTATGGATGGCTGAGACGCAAACTGGTAAAGTATGGTCAGCAGCAGCAGGCGCGACTGGAACAGCCATCTTAGCAGTAAAAATAATCCCACTTGAAGCAGGTAGAGCCATGGTACGCTCAACTGCCGGCAACACGGCAGGAGCAGGCGCATCAGGAGCATGGCCAGCTGGGACACTAACACCTGCAGTACAAGTGAGCACACACTCAGTTTGGGCCGCAATCGTCGTATTACGGGAAGTCAAAGTGTGGCCCGACCTGTCAGTAGGTGCATCTTTTGTGGATCGGCAGTCGCTTCCGTAGTGTCCTCGATGTCCGCACCGCGGACATGTCCGGCTTCTGGCAGGGCAAGCAACAGTGGCGTCAGCCCAGTGCTGCGACGAACCGCAGCGGAAGCACATTTCCACTCGAGTCGACGCCAACGCTGGAGAACCGTAGTCAGGCGCGCCGGTAACCGAGGAAGCAGTCGCAGTCGCCGAGCAGACGGCGCCAGCTTGCGAAGCAGTTGAAGAAGGAGGAACGCTGCGAACGGTGGAAGGAAGGTCGCCGAGTCGCGTTTGACGCGATGAAACAGCGTCGCTTGAAAGAGCAACCAGCTGCTGTAACGCACAGTTGACGAGCTCCTCTTTCATGGCGAGATCTAAGGCCTTCTGTATGGAGAATTCCGCTCCCATCTTCAGAATTCTTCACCGCAGATTCGGGAATGTGATTGCTTCTACAATTTGGTTGAACGCCAGTATGTCGGTACTCTCACCGAAATTGCAGAGTCGAGCAAGCAGTTTAACCTCTAGAATGTATTGCACTGTAGTCTCGGCCGGTTGTTGCTGTAGCGTCTTGAACGAGGCACGCAAGCACATCGGATCGACTTGCTCGTCGAAAATCGCGTTCAACTGCTGGAGTGTTGCAGCATACGCGTCTTGCACAGCTCCCGCCATGACTACATTGTCTACTGCCGGGATCGGTTCATCCTCCACAGCAAGCAGGTAGGAGTTCAAACGCCTTCCTGTGCTCCGGCGTGGCGTCCCTGGCAGCAGCATCGATGTAAACTTGAAGAACCGGACGTCACTGTCGCCATGAAATTGGAGGCCTACTGGGGCACTGCAGGAACACGGGCAGAGGTATCACAGCATACATCGCTGTGAAGGAAGCTTGCATCCGAACCGGAGGACCGAGTCAGACGCGTAGCCCAGTATGTATGGTCTCGGTGATCACGAACTGCCAATCCGCAGAAATGGAGTATCCGTGGCCTGTATCCAGGGTGCTGAACATAGTAGCACAAGTAGGAAATGGTCGTAGGTCCACCTTCGGCTGGATGCACGCGAATCCCATCCTTGCCGCCAATACGTTGTATCGTGCGGCGGACGCGCCGCACGGAGCACACAAGGCACGACGCTGAAGCGCCGGCCGACACAAGGTACGCAGCAGCCGGTAGCCAAGCAGAAACTACCCTTATGTACACAAGCATGCTGTTATACACATATGTACAACGCCCCTAGATACACATATGTACAACGCCCTCTAGGGGCCAGCCAACTGGTTCCAAAACCGGAACCGAAACCATAACACCACAGGCGGCATAAGGAAATTTTGATGAGCTTTGAGCCACGAGACGTCTTCACCGTCGCCGAGATGGGTCTTTTTTATAAGGTGCTTCCATCAAAGACTCACCTTCAAAGGCGAAGCCTGTAGAAAAACTCGGTAAAGATCGCATCACCGTGCTGGTGGGTGCAAACATGGCAGGAGATGCGCAATTGAAGCTGTTGTTAATAGGAAAATCAAGCCACCCATGTTGTTTCAAAGGCGTTTTACATCTTCCCGTTGCGTACCATGGGAATGGAAGAGTGTGAGTGACCATGGCTGTTTTCGAAAACTGGCGTCTAGGGGAAGACGCAAGATTTACGAGGCAAGGCAGGAAGGTTGTCTTCATCGTGGATAATTGCCCAGCCTATGGTCAGGTTCAAGGACTCCAAGCTATCACTCAGGAGTTCTTGCCAGCGAATGCAACGACAGTGATCCAGCCAATGAATAATGAATAAAGTGGTTATTCAGAACAATTAAGTTCATTACCGCAGACAGTTGCTCCATCAAATGCTGCTTAGAGCAGGCAGCAGGAAATGCAACAGTATACTTTTATTGGCAGCCATCTACATTTTGGCTTGTGCCTGGGAGCAAGTGAAGGCAACAACAATACACAGATGTTTCCATCATGCTGGCTTTCAAGTGCAAGAAAGCAGTACCTGATGAAGGAGAAAGTCCTGCTGATGCAACATTGAGACAATATTCAGTCGAGTCGTGCCTTCCGCCCCTTTCACGCTGCAGGACTACGAATCGATTGATGAAAATGTTCGTACCTGTCGTGAAGAGACTGTCGAGGAAATGATTGCCAAAGTGCAAGATGAGGATCAACCTCCCAGCGATGAATGTGATGACAATACTGCCAGTGCAGTGGTGCCACCAGATCGATCAGCTAAAGAGGCTGTTAAACTTTTGCAGCGCTATTTTGAGCATGAGACTTGTCCAAAATTTCTAGCTAGTTTGCAGGCATGGATGCGTACCTTGTGAAAAAACAACTCAAGCTTGCCAAACAAACCACTCCTCTCCTTTTTTTCTCCTACTCATCTTCATGAGTAAGGCGACGTTTGTGCAATTTGAATAAAGGTCTTGGTTCACTAAATAAGTGTACTTTGCTTAAATGAAACTTCTGATAAATGGAACAGTTTTATGGATCCCCTTCGAGTTCCGTTTAAGAGGAGTCGACTGTACTACTTTATTTCCAGTTTTATACCAGAAATATGTTGTTTTTGATTTGTGAAGCTGTGATTTGGGCAAAAGTTGGCAGGATAACAAATATTTGTATGCTTGTTTCACTGCTTTAGCTCTAACAGAGAAAAGAAGAGGGGGAGCAATTAAATAGAGCCCAGAGCCATCTTGCCTACTTTGTGCTCCTGTTGCTTGCTTGCTTAACGCCATTGCTGTCATGTGACTTACTTGTTGTGTACTGAACTTCCTATTCACTTACGAACTTTCGGCATCACACTTTGTGTCATAACTTGGTCATGTTTACTTTTCATATTGTTGGTTTTGAATGTCTCAATGCATTTTACATTCTTATTTATTTTAGTAGAACTTGTGGTGGAATGTCTGAATGTTTCAAGAATTGTAGTTGGCCTTTTCCAGTAGGCACTCTCTCGTACTTGAGTGAGCGAAAGTTTTTGTGCAGCAGGGTCCTTTTAATGCCATATTTCTTGCTGCCCACCACTGCATCCTACAGCTGCTATAAAATATGAAGCACCAGCAGCTAATTTTTTTATAAGGGCGTATATTTGAAAATCTGGATATTTGAAAAATATTTTGAATAATCTGTGTTATACAACTTGACTTACACTGAAATTTCATTATTGGAACTTCCTGAAGGCAAATACAGTCCGATTACCAGTAGTGCCTTGATTTAATACGCTTCACCTCATCAAACTTTCGCATTGGAGCAAAGCCGCCTTTCACGCTCTGCTACGGTCACAAGCGTATCGACTATAAAAAAATGCTAGTTCCAACATGGAAATGATTGATGTGGCAGAGATGAGGGCTCAATTAATGCTAACTTGGACCTGAAGTTTAGCCAGGAAGTCTGAAAAATTTGACTCCAAAGATTTTTAGCAGCCAAAATTTTATGTTTTTACAGATGTGGAACTCAGACCTAAAGGGATTACACCCTTGTTAGTCACATTAGTAGGTCTTCCACAGAAGTTCAAAAAAAGAGAGGCTGTGGAAATGGCATCTGCCTTTCGCGTGTAAAGTGATATCAGCAATATTTTAGTTAGACCAAATCATGTACATGATGTGAAGGAATAAAAGGGACAGAGACAGCACCCTTGCTGCAGGCCGGCTGTTCTATTCTGGTTTCATTCTCTTCCTCCTCACAGTAGCCGATCTAGCATGTGTGATCTTCCAAGCCTCAGTTCCGCTTTTCGTTATTACACTCGGCCACATTGCGACACTGCATGGAGAGCTACAAAAATTGTCTCCAGCGGGCAACACTGACTATGCCGCAGTGTCATTTATGGGTACGCCGCAACTCGTCCTGCTGAATAGAGAATAATGCTGGTGGGCGAGACTGGCCATGTAAGAGTGGTCGTTGCAAGTCTCTTGCACGTTCCGAATTTATGTGGTCACCAGTAGGATCTGTAGCTAGCAGTTGGTTTTGGCAGATTTGCAGTGGTTTCAGTTCATTGTGAGGACTCTGCCGTCAGAGTTCGGAATACTAGAATCTTGGTTCCTCTACCGCCACTGTCCACACCGAGCATCTGCACCATTCACTGTGCATCGAGGGACTACACAGTGTTTCTCTGGACATACGGTATGCGGCATCGCAGAGCTAATTTCACGTATGGGCTCGTGAGGCAGGTCGTGCTCGAGCTGGCGCTTAGTAATATGCGGCATGTGTTCAAGCAGTCCTGGTCTGGCTCGCATTCGGGTGCAATCATGGGTTGCACCAGCAGGTCTTCAGTTGCAACGTCTTAGGTGGGATGGGAACTTCAGATTCCATTAGGGAAACTGTGATTGGAAAACAGCGAACGTCCGCACACTCGACCAATGACTGCGGTGATGCCTGGGGAAGTAATGGCTCTTGATGAGGGTCAAACCGAGAATGGTGGCTAGTGCTTCGGATCTGTGGCTGGTCGCGAGGGAACCAGCATTGTGGCACAGTAGGTTGACGCCTCGAGGCACTATAGCGCTGGGTGGCTTGGAGGATGGCTCTCTGGCTGCTGTGGCCTGGAGGTTGACTTGGTCTTTGTCTAGTGGGATCGTGTGGCAGGTATCGATGTGGAGTGTGACACGTGTAGTGAGGAGGGACTTTTTGTGGCTAGGGTTGATGATTGCCGCAGGGCACTCCGCAAGGATGTCTGTGGAGCAGCTGCAGGGCACAGAGTGGTGCTCCACAGACATCAACCTTGTCAGGGTGGTGCTGACCCTATCGAGGTTGATTTCTGCTGTAAAGCTGGTGAGTCAACAACCGAACTGCACTGTCAACAAGGTGGTGTGCTTCACAGTTTTCATGAGCAGTATACATTGGGTCAGTAGGAAAAATGCAGCTTGCATGCTAGAGGGGGCCGAAAAACAGTGGTCAATCGGGCACACCATTCATACTAGGATTGTTGTTAGACGCCTTCATGGCCATGCCAAGCCTTGGCAGCACCACGAAAGCAGTGAGTAGCTATTAGCCATTTGCGATATTCCGGCTAGGCATGGAGGCTGCTGAGCAAGTTGAGGGTTGAAATCAACTCGAAGACACTGTGCTCAAAGCCACAAAGCCGGCGATCGCGGGACGGCAGGCGAAAATTCTCAGTGTGCCCGTGCCAAGCAGCTCACTGTCTCTTGGAGCTCCGTGAGGGAATGCTGAAGCTTGCGATGGTTCTCTGTTTAGCAAGCTTCAAGGCTTTGCGACGCGTTCGTAGCCAACATGGCATTAAGTGCGCACAATGTTGGCAAGGCAGCAGTAGACAGCTGGGAGCTCGACGCTACCAAAGCGTTATTCATGATGCGGAGTTGTGTAATGGTATGCTGCAGCTCCACGGTGCTGTTCTGCATAGAGAGCCAGGGCCGGCATTAGCAGAGGACACAGCGACTCTGATACTCATGGCAGCACAACCCACAACCAAGGACGCGTGGACGGTGTTCGTGGGAGGTTGACGGAGTGATGAAGTCCAATTCACTCAGGTGGGAGTGTTAACTGCATTCCCAGACCAGAAAGGCCCGTGCGGTGCCTTGGCATGAACTGGTGTTGCGGCACCGATGAAGGAAAGTTGAGCTGGTGACGAGGCCTGGACGCTGTTTCCAGACAGCGTTTGCTGCACAGGGAGGTTGCGAAGTGATGAGGAGGCATAGACGCCCTCCCTGAGCTGTGTTTGGTGCGGTGGTTGGTAGACAGGTTTTATGGCCGAGGAAGCGTGGACTGCTTTTCTTGTATGGCAGCTCTGGAACGCCAAGGATGCACAAGCACAGGTGGTGTCCGCTTCAAGGCATAGTTTTTGGCGACTGCACCATTGGAAAGGAATAAGACAGACAGAGACAGCACCCTTGCTGCATGCCGGCTGTTGTATTCTTGTTTCGTCCTCTTCCTCCCTGTGCTAGCCGATCTAGTCGCACATGATCTTCATTGTCTCGGTTCCGCTTTTTGTTATGACAAATACAATTCAGCCTCTATATTGTCTCATTCTTGACCAAACAATTATGTAACACCAACCTGCCATTGCTTCATCAGGAAAGCCAGAAGAAACTTTCATGTTGCTAAATGATAACATGCTTAGGAATCCTTTCCAATATATATTTTTTTTAATTTTGCGTATGAAGTATTCGAAAAAATATTGCAACAATATTAGATTCGATCCACACTCACCCTTCAATATTCGAACTTGCTTTGTACCCAAAATTTTGCTATTCGCACAGCTCTTTTTTTTTACCTGTAGAGAATGAATCATTAGGAAGAGTATATAATATTTCAGTACAGTGCGTGCCAGCATGTTGATTCAAGGCTTAGAATCAAAGCACAGTTTTGTCTATTTTCTGAATCTCTACAGTTATCAGTGTCTTAGTCTAGATGTAAAGTGAGTAATCAGCTTGGTGGCTGTTCAGTTTGAAATAAGGTAGTGCGGACAAATGTTGCTTCATAAATGCTACGATTTCGGGCTACATCTGCTCTGAGCCACTTCGTTGTGGTCCCTTGGCTAAGGTACTCGGCTGCTAACCCGCAGTTTGTGGGATCGAATCCCGGCTGCGGCGGCTGCATTTCCGATGGAGGCGGAAGTGATGTAGGCCCGTGGACTCGGATTTGGGTGCACGTTAAAGAACCTCAGGTGGTCCAAATTTCCGGAGCCCTCCACTACGGCATCTCTCATAATCATATGGTGGTTTTGGCACGTTAAACCCCACATATCAACCAATTGCATCTGCTCTGAACATTCTCTTTTTACTCGAAAAGGCCTTTCTGGCTGCTCTAAGCGTGCTCCTCAATGTCTTTTCTGGTGCTCCGAGCCTGCTACAAAAAGCACTTTTGCCTGTTCCCACGACTGCTGCTAAATCCATGTACCCTGTTTTCCACCCTTGGCATAACATCCATGCAGGATGCATAACTGAGTAGTGGTAAGATGGACAGCACAAAACATGCTTTCAGCATGTTTTTGCTTGGTCATCGTCCGCTTTATACACATCAGTCATACTGCAAAGTAACTGCTGCTTAATTATCTTTTCTATTATGAAGAAGTGATCATAAAAGGTATTGGTCTACAGCTTGATGAAAGTTTGGTAACTGTACATTTCCTTTTGTCAGCGAATGCAGGAGCTGTAGATGAAGAGATGTTTATCCGATCATTTGAAGATGTTCCGAAAACACAGGTAGGTCTGATGAAGTTTTGTTTGTGTTTGCACATGTAGCTTTTTCCTGTTATTTCAAGCCAAATGCGTTTGCATGGACATGTTTTAATTTGCATTTTGTGTACCTTGTTTAGCACTTATGACATTGCAGTTGAGCGAAAATGCTCAAGTGAGTTTTAGTTTTATTTTTATTTAGCCGAATAACGCTTTACAGTGTTTATTTGGCTAATCATCTCGTCATCAAATTACTTTCTGAGGTTAACAGAGCGAAACCACTTGCGAACAAAAGGTTGTCCATTAAGTGATTTCGTTCAAGCATTCTGTTTCTTTCAATATTCAATACCAGAAATATTTATTATTAAAGGCACCGACAACTGCCCATAACAGGAAGGAGATGATTTACTGGTGGAAAGATGTTGCATTGACTCGAACCAACCCTGTTTTTTTTTTTTCATGGGATGTGAATTTATTATTCCTTTTCTTCATTAAAAGTTGGAAAAAGTAAAATCTGGTGGTAAAACACGAACGATCCAACGTACTTGGCCATGTGGCCGTTGAATGCGGTAGGCGATTGATTTTTTTTATTATTTTGAAATATTGTTGGTTTCTTCATATTAGAAGATATTGCTTCATAATAGTGTTCATATAAGCTTGTGTTAGTAGTATGCATTAAAGTGGCACTGTGTTCACATGACGTAATGGTCCCATGCCCGTTAGGTCATCCTGAGCAACTTTTCAACGTGTTCATGCAGCCGTGCATGCAGTTTCCAGTTTGCTAAGATTTTTGAGCGACATAGTTTTGCTGCCTACACTTCGTCTCAAAAATGAATTGCACTTCGGTGACTTCTTGGCTCGTGTATAGAGAGACGCCGGGACTAGCCACCCATGACACAGGTGCAGGCAACCTTGGCCGCAAGTGCAAGCAACGTGGTACAAGTAGAGGGAAAGTGTATAATGCCACATAATTCTATTGTAACAGCTTATTTTCAAAACTAGTTGAACAGCTTAAAATAAAGGTTGTTAAGCATAGTTAAAAGGAATGACAACTGATTTTTTTTCGACCCAGTTTTTTTTTGGCGTGACAGAAAGCTTACACTTCGTAGTGTTTGTAGCTGCAGTAGTTAATCCCAAAAGCACGTAGGCATTTTATAAGTGGTGTTTTTTTTTTATCTGGAAGGCTCCCAACAAAGATGTGCCCTTTCATTCTGCAATGCCGAAAATAGGTGGATAGAAAAATCGTGGCCCACGCAAAATATTGCGGGCTGCAGCGCTTGTCTGCATAAATTTCCAGTTCGAGATGCCGTGCCGCCCGACAGGTATTCTTGTCAGCGCCGTCGCTTTCTGCGTGTTCCACTTAGCGCACGCAGAGGTCTTTCCTTAGATTATTGCGTTATACATATGAGTGCTAGCAGCTTATATGAATAACAAATGCAGTCGCTACGAGATAGTTATAATGGGGGTCATTTCTTATTCAAGTAGCATGCACCTTCAGACACATGCATGTTTTGCAGCAAAGGGTGTTCTCTCACATACAGATATTTTTCTGCCTGTCATAGCATCATGAAACATCCATTCATTTGTTTGTATGTTGCCCACTCGTAGAATTATTTATTTAACCCCTTAACTACTCACTTATTTCAAAAATTTTCAGTCATAACGTGCCTATTTTTTTATTGCTGATTTTGATTCTGATCGCACAAAAAAGCAGCTAGTTGGTGTTGAAAGACTATTTTCACCACATACTTAGTCAAATGAACGGACTAAAGTTTATTTCTGAACAGTACATAGGAAATCGGCTAGCTGCTGCTAATAAGAGTAAGAGCTTTAAAAACAAAAGAGTTACGGACGCCACATTTTGCTTCACTTGTGTAGGCTAAGCATTCTTGGGGTCTTTCGCTCTGGAAGCTTCGGGACTGTGCGGAAAATCTGAAGACACGGAATTACGCAAAGCGGCCTCGCTGGCGGCCACTCGTAATTTTCACGTCCAAGCTCTCTTCATCACCGGAGGAGCTGCTTATTGCTGTCTTCACTTTCGAACACAAGATAAATATCTGTGCTCGAATCATAATCACTCGAAGAAGATGTAAAAAAAGATAGCTTGTTTTTCGTGTTCACAGGCCAGCTATGCATGGGTCGCCGCAACCGCAAATCGTCTGTTCTTATAAAAACCGCACTCCTGCCGCAGGAGAAAACTAAATCCTCTAGAAAATGCTGCCACCTAGTGGATGACGCGCAATGTAACCCGTAATTGCGCGCTTCTCCGCCTGAACGCTAAAGGGGCATACCTATTCCACTAGGAAGAGTTCAACTTGTTCAAAGCCGTTTGGTGACAGTTTAGGCAGGACGAGGCAGTTAAGGGGTTAAGTACCATCTTGGTTTCGATATAGTGAATGGCAGCAGTAAACTGTGTCTTATTCAAAAAATGAAATGTTGATTGTGGCTTTTTTTCTCAATCTTGCTTTACGTGAGATGTCTTCCTTGACACACTCGAAAATTGCATTTCGATGTATGCTCAACATATAGTTGTCGAAGCAAAACACTGCCTATCGGCACTCAAGGCTTGTAAGTCTGATCTAATAGAGACGTCAGACCATGCAGCGCGTTGCTTCTAAAGAGACTTCGATCATTTTACATCCTGTGATATCGTTAACTGAACGGTTGTTTTGTTCCATGGGCCTTTTACACGGTCGGCTGTTTCCACAAATTTGACACAGTACGGGATGTAGAATAGGCTATGCAAATATATTGTGTTGGCGTACTTGGTTGGGCAGAGTACACATACTTATGTTATCAACCTGCGTTGAAATTTGGTAGCAAGTGTTCATATGTGTGAGTGATTTTGAGGTGGTCATCACTTGTAGTTGAAAATACCAAATCGAGGCCATTCTTAAAAGATTGCTGTGTGTTACAAACCGTAAATGCACTCGAAACCTGCCTCTCGCTGTTTCTCGTGTTCACCCATTTCCACTTCTCGCTTCATTCTCTGAAATCCACGAAATAACATCTATTTATTGGCCATATGTTTTAGAACACAATCACCAGTCAAGCATGTGGGGTCTCGCAATGGAACGCTACGCTCTTGGAGTCAATGGACACAGTAGACACGGCCGAAAGGAACCAAGCAACGCACATTTGCTTAACTGCTTTAAAATGACAATATCGCCAGCCAAAATAATATATCAATTGTGATCAACACGCTTAACAACCTTGCACAATATTCCAGAACACACAACAACAAACGCAAGGCGGCGTCCCCAGTGCTTGACTCGCCACGAGGGCCCACGGCAGACCACTCACAATGCCGTGCACCGTGAACCCACCGCAAAAGACAGCCGTTCGTTTTAACCACCATGCGCCAAGAGGCCCGCTTATCTTTCGTGCACCGCCACCTAGGCTTGCCGCCAGGCGTCACTGTCGGAGCGACCGCATGTGTTTCCGCACATGCCGCAGGCGTCACTGTCGTTGCGGAATAGCATGTGTTTCCTACACTGCGAAGCGGGCAACTTGAAGCGATGAAGAGATATGCCTCAAACCGGAAGTATCGTAGCAGATGATGCGCCAGTTTGCTATACACCTATTGACAGTGATGCCGTAGCCTTTCTGATTTGTGCATGCCGTCTTACTTCTTTCGCGGGTGTTCCTGCGACTATGCTTTCACGTTTATTCTGAGCTTTACAACTGTTTTTGAAAATAACCAACCGTTAGAATGAGGCGATAACACTTTATACAGCTTCTCTGTATTTGTACCACATTGTGTGCGCTTGCTTGCGCCCAAGGTTGTTGTCCTGTGTCGTGGATGGCTCGTCCCACCGTCGTTACTCTCTCTACGCGCGAGCCAAGCCAAGTCACCGAAAATGTCATTGCGCATATGTGCGGTCGTGCCAACTAGCGGTACACGCCATTTCTGAGACAAATTGTAGGTAGAAAAACCAAGTCCCTCCAACGTCGTAGCAACCTGGAAAGTCTGTGCACGGTTTTATGAGCAGGCAGAAAAGTTGCTCAACATGCACTGACGAGCATGAGATGGTTACATCATGCGAAGGCAGCGCCACTTTAATGCGTACTACTAACATGCCTATATGTACATCTTTATGGAGTAATATCTTTTACTATAAAGAAGCAAACAGTATTTCAATACTAACAGGAAAATTGTTGACCATGCACACTTTATAACAGTCACATGACAGGGCACATCAGATAATTGAAGTTTCTGCCACCAGGTGGTACCACAGGCTATTTTCCCGATTTTCATTTATGAAATAAAAATATAACTCCAATTTTACGAGAAATTGGTTTGAGTCGCAATGAGGGACAATCTTTGCACCCGTGCAGTCATCTTCCGTGTTCTGGGCAGTTGTGGGTCCCTTTAAAGGAACACCTGCAAAAGCAGAACGACGACGGCTTTCACAAGTAGCAAAAGCGCTGGCAGCATTGCTATCAATTCTCAGCATTGCTCGAGGAAAGGTATATCTGTATCTATAGAGCCTTTTAAATAGAAAAAAAAGCCACTTGTACAATAACTATGTGCTTTTTGGATTAACTAATGCGGCTACAAACACAACAAAGGGTGATCTTTCGGTCTTGCCGTAAAAAAAATTGGTCGAAAAAAAATCATTTGTCGGTCCCTTTAATACTACAAGCTGCCCCTAAGCAACCACAGCAATTGGGGAGTCACGGTACGGTAATAGTTTGTTACAATAGGAAACTTTAAGGAAAGCAAGTCAAGTTAAATTTCATTAGAACATGAACGAAGTAATATGTTAAAGGCCACCCTGGCAAGAAAGCTGTAAGCATACAGCTTAATGAAGCTAGGGGGCCCCAGCTAGGCAACAGCAGCAGTGCATACATGTGCAATACAAACAACGCTTTTCATTGTTGTAAATAGATATAAATACATGTGTGTGCACTGGGAACAGGTTAGAATACGTGTGAATAGTGAATAATGTGACAGCCAAAGAAGTATTGTTCTGTTACAATGCAAAAAATGGATATGAAGAAAAAATAAAGTGCATGCATGTGATGAATACATTATAAAAAGCATAGATACAAGGTTAATTTGCAAGCTTTAATGATAAATTTGAACCGTATCAAAGAGAAAGACATCAAGAAAGTGCTTGCATGATAATGACGGTTCTGTATTTATGCACTGCTATAATTGGTTTAACTGTTCAGGTACATTGTAGCTCAGGGTATGAGTGTACTAGTAGTCTGTTGGATGGCACTTTATGCACCACCTTTTGTGTTACACGGGTGCTATGTCATTCTACGAGGGCTAACAAATTCGTTGGAAAGTGCGCAGTTTTTTTTTTAATCAGCAAAAAACAATTGATGTTGGAGGGGGTATACATAAATATCTGTGACTGTAATAATTCTGTTTTCCTGCTTCGCCGCGGTGGTCTAGTGGCTAAGGTACTTGGCTGCTGACCCGCAGGTCGTGGGATCAAATCCCGGCTGTGGCGGCTGCATTTGCGATGGAGGCGGAAATTTCGTAGGCCTGTGTGCTCAGATGTGGGTGCACGTTAAAAGAACCCCAGGTGGTCAAAATTTCCGGAGCCCTCTACTACGGCATCTCTCATAATCAAATAGTGGTTTTGGGACGTTAAACCTCATATATCAATCAATTCTGTTTTCTTGAAACAGCGCTTTTGTCGGATGTTAACAATGAACGTTATTGATGCAACGACTAGCTTTCTTTTCAAGCAGCAATAACCTAATAATATTTCGTCTTGTGGCCCCGCCGCGGTGGTCTAGTGGCTAAGGTACTCGGCTGCTGACCCGTAGGTCGTGGGATCAAATCCCAGCAGTGGCGGCTGCATTTCCGATGGAGGCGGAAATGTTGTAGGCCCGTGTACTCAGATTTGGGTGCACGTTAAAGAACCCCAGGTGGTCAAAATTTCCGGAGCCCTCCACTACGGCGTCTCTCATAATCAAATAGTGGTTTTGGGACGTTAAACCCCACAAATCAATAAATCAATATTTCGTCTTGTGGTTGTAGCTCACACTAAGGTGCAGTAGCTTATAAACGATCAAAAAAGACAATAGTAAAGTTGGAACATTACACGAGGTGGGAACAAATGACGACATCTGAATAGAAGAGCGAGTGCAGCAGACAACTTCTTTACAATGAGATCTATGTGCGAGTTCCACATCATGTGTCTAGAAACCACAACACCCAAAATTTTGTGTTCCTGACCAAGTGAGTGGGAATGTATGTTTAAATTGTTGTGAGACACACATTTGTTTTTTAGGAGAAAAAAAAAACAGCGTTTGATTTTTTTATTTGTAGACTGTTGCACAAGGACCACTCGTAAACATTGGACATCATGCTATTCCCTTGTGAAAACATGTCTGATTCGGTATCAGAGGAAACGAACAAGCTAGTGTCATCTGTGTACAAAAGAAAATATGTCGACTTGTCATTAAGAGGCAAGTCATTTGCGTATGCGTTAAATAAAAAGGGCCTCAAGATGCTTTCCTGGGGGACACCACTTAGTAATTGGCGGAGGGATAACGCAAAACAACTATGCCTTGTTGCCGGTCAAGTAAACATGATTGCAAAAACCAGTGAACGACACCACGTATGCTATTTTGTTCTAGTTTTGTTAAAACGGTGTCATGAAAGACTGAGTCAAATGCTTTGCTGTAATCAACGAAGATGCCAAGAGTTGGCTTTCCCACTTCAATGTTTCTGAGTATGGTTTCTTTTTGCTCCAGCGGCACAGACTCAATTGATTTGCCCTTTGTGAAACCATGCTGGCATTTAGGCATGATTTCATGCATTAAAAATTATGTAGTCGACTTAAAATTTACTTTTTTAGGCCTTTTGAAAACTTTTTTAGGCCTTTTGAAAGACTGATATAGGCCTATAGTTCCCGATGTTGTTCCTATCGCCACATTTAAATATAACTGACACTTTGGCTCATTTCATTTTATTAGAGAACGTTCCTGAAGTAATCACGAGATTGAATATATGGACCAAGCACGGGAGGATAACGTCGATAATATATTTTTTACAGGTGTTATCTGGATGTTGTCAATATCAGTAGCTTTATTGTTTTGTAATGAGGTGAAGGCTTTATGTTTGTCAGACCAATCTGTGGGTTGAAAAAATGCCGTTTCCCGAACATTGTGTTCTAGTATGCACGACTTGTCGGTGGGAGGTGCTCGGCTAATTGTTGCTGATGCGTAATGTTCGCTAAAGTATTCTGACAAAGCCATCTCTGACAGTGATTTATTGTTTACGACTATTTTCTGCATTACATTGGCCCCTGAGCTTGTTGCCAGGACTGAATTAGTCATTTTAAACATGCGTTTAGGTGGATAACATGAGCCAGTTTGGAAAGGCTTTTCATAGTATTCTCTTTTAGCTTTGTTCAGTAAGGCAGGTTTTCTTATCTCTTTAAAGGTCGCCAGAGTATTAAAGTCCCGTGTTTTTAAAAACCAATCATGAAGTTGATGGTTTTCTGTGATCATACAATTTAGTTCATGATTAATCCAAGTGACAGTGTATGTAAAACTGCGATGTGAATTCAAGACCTTTGAGGCTGCTTGAAGATTTGTCCTTTCACGCTGATTGTTGTTCTTTGCGACAGACCCACATACGTAGAGGTCAGGGTAGTGTTCAGCTGGACACAACAAATATAACACATGATCCTTACATACCTGTGCTGTATTTACCGGGTAACTCCTTTGTTTTCCTCAGCTTTACTCGGCAAAGGAACTGGAACAAGAACTTGCGAAGATCAAGCAGGTTCTGAATGATACAAATGCTGACTGGGAGAAGAGAGTGGACATGGTAAGTCATGGTATGAGGTCGTCTTTGGCAACTGGTATTTTATTTTCATTGCACAGTATCAATTGAGCTGCCTTAACAATTAATATAAGCAGATCTGAAGCAGTCAATTAAGCTACATGTGAAATTCTGCAGTAGCTTTTAGTTTGATAGACATTTATGCCTCTTATTAAATGCACGTACATGTTTGCTTACTTATGGTACTGGTAAAAATTGGAAGAGTTACTGAGTAGCTACTGCTACTATTGTTATGTGAATTGTAGTATGTTCTAATGAATGCCTTTATGGCCTTTTTAAAATTTGCTAAGCCTCAGAATGAGAATGATATTAGCAGAAGACGTTTAGTACTGCAAAAATGAGCAAGATTTCAAAATAGGATCGTTACATGAATTGCTGTGTTTCTAGAACTGTTTTTTGATGACATTCGTACTATTTTTGGCAAAATTGAACATAGGGAAGTTGTCGAAATTTCTAAATTATTTTGTACCTCATGGTCTTAACCATCCTGAGCCCTCTTGAGAAATTTCTGTTGGTAAATCATTCATTTTTGGCTTAACGTGGCTTTTGCATAGTGTATAAATTGCTAAATACCTGTGCTGATATCATTTTGCCATCACATTTTATTTGGCAAACAAGATGAGCTATAAACAATGGATCGGTCTAGTGAAAGAATGTCCAGGCATGGATGGCAGCGATGTATGGTCATTCTTGAATGCTGTGCTTCTCTTTGTTGCAGCTGCGGCACCTTCGCAGCTTACTTCTAGCAGGTGCTGCAGACTATGAGGAGCTGTTTGCCAGTTTGAGGCTCCTGGAGCCTTCATTCCAAGTTCTGGTTAGGGACTTACGGTCACAAGTGGTCAGGGAAGCCTGCATCACTATTGCGTGAGTGTCACGTTTCCCGCTTTGCAATCTACTGGAGATGCCAGGTGGTTAAAATTTTGGCTCTTAAAACCCTAGCAATCATTGCGAGTCCTCGTGGTAGTCCATTTTACAACTTTGTCTTAGGGCTTCATCAGCAGTTGGGCTCATTGTAGCATTGAATTTCGATGTAAATTTTCGCTTCTGGACTGCAAGCGCTGAAGGCTCTTGCATATTAGTTTAACACTTCCAATTTGCTGCTTGCAACATAGAAATGGCTAGTGCACCAGATAGTAGAGTGCTGGATATATGTTGACATAACTGAATTTGTGCATTGCATTAGAGTAATGGTGCATTTGCAAAACTTTTTTCTGTGTTTGTGTTGCTTTGTGATCACCTTGTAGCCATGGTCATGAGTTTTCATTTAGCGCAAGTTTTATTTCTCCAGTTCTGTTGTTACTAAGTAATTTTTTTTCTCATTTGTTGCAGTTATTTATCTCAACAATTGGGTCATAAACTTGACCACTTCTCGGAAGCAGTACTTCCAGCGCTCATAAACTTAATCCCCAATAGTGCCAAGATTATGTCCACATCCGGCATTGTCACAGTGAGGTTCATCATTCAGGTGAATTGAACTCTGTTTTGTACTACTTCTCACAGTATTATCATACTCTGGAAAAGAAAACGTACATAGTCCCAAATGTGTTGCGATTTGATCAGTGCACTACACATGAACCAGCACAGCAGAATGGTCTTGTTAAGGTTATATGAACGAAAACCACCCTGTAACAGTTGACTTCTGTCTGTAGAGCATATTGGAGCTTGCAAAAAAGCTCTTATTTACTGTTACTCAATTCAACCTTTCTTGGGATTCGTGCACAAGGGCAATCTTCTCATGCAACTGAGAGGTACAAAGCCAAGCGTTGCGTTCATGACTGTGATCAATGCTCTTTTGGTTGGTACAAGTGAAGTTTTATGGCTAAACTGCATCATGTATCAACATAATTCATATTCTGTGTTTTACTCGATAGCGTGCATATTCCAAAAAGTTACTCCCAACAGTGCTCAACCACATTGAATGGTGCTGCTTTTTAGATTGTGCCCCCGGCTGTTAAAATGACTTTTCTTCATTCCTTTGGTTTTTATTTCAGCACACTCATGTTAGTCGGTTGATACCAGTGATTACAATGAACTTAAGTTCAAAGTCCAAGGACATTAGAAGGTGAGTGTCTTCATCAGCATAATTACCGTATTTATTTGAATCTAGGCCGACACTTCTGTCAGAATATCTTTGTATCAAACTCTAGCGCCGCTTAGATTCAAGAATTTTGAAAAAACACGCCATTTTTCGAGAAAAAGTGATGCGAAACTATTGCCACCCAGACAGTATTGTAGCCGTTAGTAGCCGAGCCAACACCTGGCGTATGCACACGAGGCCGCCATTTTATATTTCTGGCGAGTGTTGAGGCAATGCATCATCTAGAAAGATGCCTGCGACGTGAGAAGAGCTGGTTCCTAGCTCTCTCCTATTCTCTGCTCCTCTGCTTCCCCAAACAGTGTCGACTGCGAGGGCTCGCTGCGGCGGCAGCTTTGAAATTAAACCTTGTGGCCTCCAAGATTCAAGCAATGTCTATTGCCGTCCCGGAGGCCACATAGTTGTGTTTCTGTGATGGCATTACTTTCAAATCCATCAGGAAGTAGAAGTGTCGGTTGTGAGCGCTCCCCGCGACGAAAGCGCTGAGCTACGAGGAACCGTCCCGTCCCCATGGGAAAGCGTGCGACGTCGCAGGGGGCTTTCTTGAGGAGGCTTTCTTTTCAATACTGGTTGAGGCGAGCTATTCGTCAGTTTGAGTCTCGCTTCGAGTGGGCTGTGTGTGGTGTAGCTCAATGGTGCCAAACCAGTGTTTCCTCTACTTTGAGATGCCTGGCGCATCAGCACGAGATCTCCTGCCCATTCCCTCCCATTTACGCAGGCCGCTGCTGCCCGCGACGCTATGTTCTGACACTATCTTGCACCCCCGCCAGCAAGCGCAGATGCCTGCGGTAGCACAATCGTAGCGTGCATTAGTCCTTATTTTTCCTCTTGCTCCGCATCGCCTCCAGCTGCGAGTGCACGTGCCTGCGGTAGCACAATTGTAGCGTGCATTAGTCCTTATTTTTCCTCTCGCTCCGCATCGCCTCCACCAGCGAGCGCACATGCCTGCGGTAGCACAATCGTTGGCGTGCATTAGTCGTTGTTTTTCCTGTCACCCCACATGCGCCCCCACTAGCGAGCGCAGATGCCTGTGGTAGCACAATCGTAGTGTGCATCAGTCGTTATTTTTCCTGTCACCCGGCATGCGGGGCTACAATTCAGACTTTAATACTGGACGAGGAAGCTGCACTATATTCGCACGCACATATATGCCATGTTGATTTAGGATTAAACGTATAACTTAAAAGTCAGTGCTTGATCCTCCTGTTTTCATTCATAGATTCATGTACACTTTGTCCTGTTTCACTGCACAGTTTCATTGCTCTGAATCAGCATTTTTTTTTTTTCCTGTTTGCACTAGGACACCTGCAGACACAATACTCAATGTGCGATGGTTGAAGTTATAGCAAAAATGAACTAGCAGTGCAATTAGCTGTCAGAAATCTTTATCTTTTTCACCGATGGGGTGTTAGAAGCCAAAGGAAAATATGTGCCATGAATGGGTTGACTTTCCACGAAGACAGAGCCGGCCCTGATTACCCGAAACATGCAAGAACATATTACAACACCTCATGGAATAATGAAATGTCTGCAGATAACGCTGTCAGACATTGGCGCAGCCAAGGGGCAAAGGAGGTAATTAAGGCACTTGAGTCCCCAGCCCATAAATTTTTCAATTTTCATGTGTCCTCATGTACACGCATACATAAAAAAGCATGCATAAACTACATATACTAACTTGTTGTCAGACTTGCACACAAAAAAACATTTTGGCTATGCTCAATCAGACCGAAAAACATCCCTGAAACTTTTTGCGGCACTATGTCAATGCAGTGCAGTCACACCCTTGCCTGTGCTGAGATGTGAAAGCTGCAACGGCAAACACAGACTGGCTAATGTAAAACTCGTACGAGAAAACTGGCAATTTTCAAGCAGCGCTCTTTCGGGAAAAAAAAATTAAAAGCCAGGCCTGTACGGAACGCACACCACAAGTCGCAGCAAAAGCTGGAAGAGAAACCTTTCAGAGCTTTTCTAATCGCTCGTTGGGTAACTGCTACAAGTACACCTGCTGGGTACCCACTATGTATATAATCATAATTTTTGTGTTGTTGGCCGGAATTTACTATGCTCTCTTTCGTCATTCTTCGGAGTAGCGTGGTATCCCGCTACACACTTATTACCTGAAAAGTTATGCCTTGAGTGGGTTTGCTCTACAGTTAATAAGTGATCAAAAACAAGCTTTGGTAATGGCTTGGAGCATTGCACGACCCACTTGTTTCCCGATTCACAATGTGTGACGCATGGTTCTTCGTTTGATGTTCTAAAACGCTTTATTACTCTTATTAACACGATTCCTTTCCTGACATCAAGGCTGCATAAGCCCAGTTTCGAAACAAATTCCTAGCACTCGTGTGGCTCAGTGGTAGAATACCGAGCTTACACACAACGGGCCCGAGTTGGAAACCTATTGGCCTTGGTGTTTTTTATTTGCAGTTTTTTTCTTATTTCGCGCATAGCGGTTACGGACACCGATGGCGGCTGCGAAGGACTACGGCACCGCAGGTGAACCATGTTGTGTGACCTCATAAGTTTTCACTGTAAAAAGGGACAGCATTGCAGCTCTTTTAATGTACAACTAATCACTGCCATACACAAATGCACAAGTTTAAAGGTGTTTTTTTTTCTAAACTTAAAATCTTTTTGTTTTGATTTTCTTCATTTTTTAGTTTGGTATTTTTGTCTTACTGCAGATATGAACTCTAATAAAGTGTCATGAATATGGTGACAGTTCTTCCCTCATTTATACAATTCTTGTCTCGACCCTTTGTATGTACGCCATAATGAGCCCTCTAGCTAAAATTCTCGTTTTATATTTGTGGTAGTTCGCATCGATGTAAGTTGTTCTGTTCTGGATGTTAAATCCATTTTTATTTTTAATATTACCATCTTGTGATAATTGGTCACATTCAACGTACCCCAAGTATGAGGGCGTCTAGCCTGCAGTCTGGCTTCAGTAAATAAGCATTGCATCATGGATGCATTGCACTGTAGTTTTGATGTTCTATTGTTCTTTGTGGTCTCATTTCATCTTGATAACTTGTCTATTTTCTTTCTGCTGAGCTCTGCTGAGCCCCAAGCACGAAATATACTTTTGCTTAAACGCTCAAAGCTCTTACGAGTGCCTTACGAGTGACTGATGCAGCGACATTCTATGACTGAGTGTGTGGAGCGTAGTGTCGGAAGGTTGCATTACCTCGCGGAAAGCCGGAGAAGCGCAGTGGCTCCAGACGAACAATAGAAGTGCAGGTGACATGCCAGGCATCTTAAGTAGAGAGCTGCTGGCCAAATAAGCATAGTCATTATAGTGCGGTGTATAAAAGGAAAGTTGTGCTAGCCGCGAAGTGGTCCTCCGATGTTCAAGCCGGGTGAGACTTTCGAGTGGACGAAAAGAATATTAATTGCTGGAGGGGCTAACAAAAGAAGCTCTTTGCATGCGCCAGAACAAGGATGGCTTTTATTGGTCCATGAAAAGGCCGTCTCCCAGAAATGAAGACGGCATTGGCCGATTTTGTTCAGATGCAGCTGTTCTTCCAGTGACCATGGAATTACTCCAGGCAAAGGCAAGGGAGCTTTCAGGGGCGCAAGGTGTTTCGGCGGCTGACTTCAAAGCCAGCTGATTCATGAGCTGCCATCGTCGCACCTCAATCTCCCAAAAGTTACCGGCTCATAATGAAAAGAAGTTGCTGGAACATGCTTCGAAAGAGAGAAGCGAGAGCATATCTGCTAGGCCAGGTCGGCAACGCAGACCAAACGCCAGTGTATTTTGAAATGGCAGTGGCGTACACAGTCTCGAAAAAGGGGCCAAGGAAGTGAAGGTGCGCTATATGAAAAGCAGCACATGACTGTGTGCTGCACAGCGGACGGGCACAGGCTCACTCGTATCATTTTAAGAGGAAGACCCTGCCTGCCAAAGAGGCCTACCCGTGAAGTGTCATTGTGCGGGCCAACGAGATTGGCTGGATGACTAGCGCAATGGTCGAGGAGTGGCTGAATATCAAATGGCCTCCAGGCGCCCTTCTGTGCGAGCATTCCCTCCTTGTGCTGGACTCGTACCGCATGTATTCGACCAATAGCGTCAATGCTGGGCTGGCTGAAATGGACACCGACCTCGTCGTGATGCCAAGTGGAATAACGGACCAATTGCAGCCACTTGATGTTTACATTAACACGGCATTCAGGGATAACCTGCGGGAATTATACACGTACTGGTTAGGCAGCGAGGATCACTAGCTGACCCCGATGGGCTGCATCAAGCGGGCCTTACTGTCTCAGTTGGCATCATGGCACGATATCCTAAGAACTTTGATCTTACGCTTTTCAAGAAGTGCGGCATATCAAATGCGCTGGATGGCTACGAGGATTGGGCACTGTTTGAGGACAGCGACAAAGATATCAGGGACGACTTGGAACGAGTGCGGCATTTTGATGATGAACTAACTGCTCCGTTTCATTTTCATATTTTCAATAAATATTTTCTTTTTGTGAATGCTGTCAGTTTTTTTCTTTGGACTTGGCCTAGATTTGAGTAAATAGGGTATGCATCAGTTTTCTGCTCAGTTTTTTGCTTTGCTAAAAATTCTGTGGCTTTATAAAACGTACATTCTGTTATGATATAGAATGCTGCATTTTATAGGCTAGCAGGGTTCTCTGAGGAACATTTATTATGCCCTCATGTGAAATGGGGTTCAGTTTATAACACATGCCATTTACAATGCTTAAAGGGCCAGATTCTCTTTCTTCCAGCTGGTCATTTTGCATATGTACAGTGATACTAAAAGTAACAGCAAATGTGTCCCTGAGCATCGATGAGTAAATCATAGGATTGCTTGTAGGTTAATCTACTGTAGAAAATTCAAGTGCACTGAGCAGCACTAAATGACAGCTGTATGTTGGGCCCATGCTGTCTCAAAAGGTCCGGTTGTGTTCTGCACAGGTCGTGCTTTGAGTTCCTCGACCAGTTGCTGCACACATGGCCAACACACACCCTGGAAAGGCACATTGCTATCCTGCAGGAGGCCATCAGGAAGGGGATCAGCGATGCCGACCCGGAAGCCCGTGCCTTTTCACGCAAGTGGGTGTGCTTGGCCTCTGGGTGTATCTTTTTGTACGCTGTGGTAGCCATGAAGTTTGCCACAGCTCTGCTACGGCAGATCAGTGATTACGGTGCTCAGCTTTTTACCAGGAGGTTACGGGTTCACTCCCGGCCTGTGCAGTGGGCTCAGCCAGTGCATGATCAATATTTTTTCCAGGGTCCTCCACTACGGCGTCTCTCATACTCATACCATACATAAAACTTTAGATATTTTTGAACAAAAAAACTTGTTCATGTGAAACCTGCCTTTGTAGCTGCTGAGCTGTCAAGGCAAGTTTTGATTTCCATTCGAGGCGGCCGCTTTTCAACAGGGGCAGAATTTAAATATTCTCGTATGCTTCGAAGTTGATCCTCTTTCCCTGACCAAAGTACATCATAGTCGTAACATTTAATGTAACCATATTGTGGTTTCAGCTTGAGAAACCTTAAAATGTCAAAAGTTAAGTGTAGGCATGTGCAGGTTGGTTACGGCAACTTCTCATGAAAATGAAGGAGCTGTAGACTCTGATTTGTGTCCCAAATATTGTCGCTGCAAACAAAATGATGCGACATGTTCATTTACATTACTTTTCAATGGCCTTCGGTTGTCTCTTTATGTGATTTAAAAAATATCTAAGATGTTTTTTTTATATATTCACTGTTCAGTAAGGTTCACCTTAGCTGGTAAGAGAAGTTTGAGGCAATGTCCCTTTCAGTCATAAAAAACGATGCGCTGTCAAAAAGAGTCAACTTTGCGAGGCGTAATTCCGAGGCACTTAGTATTACATTCCAAATAAGAAAATGTAGGAAAACACACTTTGTATTAGTACATTCTAAATGAAGAAATGTAGGGAAACACACTTTGTATTAGTACATTCTAAATGAAGAAATGTAGGAAATCATTGTTCCGTGTGAGTTCTGGTAATTAAAGTTACCGAGTGTGTAATTATCTAGTTATATTACCACCAGTCAGCGTCAGTACTTGCATAAAAAGAATCCCCTATTACGCCCAAAATACATGTACACTTTGTTTCTTGATTAGATTTGTTTCGAGCGAAGAAAAAGAATACTCTTCACATTTGTCTTAAAATGCGTCACGTATAACGATCGTTGAACATGGCACTGCATCCAGCAAAGTGATCCTCTGCAGTAATGCGCAGCATAATAAGGTTAGATAATCACCAGGAGGCATGCACGAATGCGTTACGTGCCATTGAAGCTTGCATCTCCATTTGTACACACCGTGACTGAAAGAGATAAAATATATATTTGCCCTATGGCAGCAATATTTTAGGCTCTTGTTGAATTCGTTCTATTGCCAATTCAAGTTTCGAAGCGCTGCTTGCATTGCCTTAGGAGAAAAAAAGATGGAGAATGCATTGAACTTTGATAAAATGTCACATATCTAAACATATTTAAAAACAGTTTTCTTTGCAGTAAAACTTGAAAACGCGTGAATTTTCTTCATTAGGCATAAATTTCAAAAAAAAAATATTTTTTTGTAACATCTTTTGAGAATGACAGGTGATGAAATTGGTACCTCTGTGTTTGATGAGTTACAGTTTATTTTTTTTTCTTGTAAATTATGCCGTTGATACAAAAAATGAAGTTGACTTTCAGGCTACCTGGTGAGAGGGGCATATAATAATTAAATTCTCAATCAAATCTGAAATATCAATTTTTGGACCCATGTCGATCTCTCCTACCCAGATCTCAATGCATATGGCACTGAACCTTGCAGGGCCTTTTGGGGCTTTGCGGACCATTTCAAGGAGCAGGCAGATGTGCTGCTCAACTCGCTGGACAGTGGCAAGCAGCGCATGTTACAGGGTGAACTGTGCATGAGCAACTCCTCAAGCAGCAACTCGCTCAACAGTGCACAAGGCCGGCCCCTGAAGCACTCGGTGTCCAGCCATGGATCCATGGAGAATCTGAGGTACTTTTGGCCCTTTCTGCTCACATTTGCGCCGTTCAAGGCAAATGAACAAGTTTATTTCGGGTTGTCGAACAAGAACTAGTTGAAGGTATTTTTATATAGTCAAGCCCGCTTATGACGAACTTGAGCGTGACACGGCGTGGCGCCGTATCCTGAAGTTCCCATTAGGTGAAACAAAAAAGGTTGCGCATGAAAACTCTTTTTTTTTTTTTCACAAGTCCATGATGCACGTATCAGCTGAAGCATTAATGATGGTCTCAGTTTATTTAAAAGATCAGCGTGCTCTTCGCCGAGACGTGTGGCATATACCGTAATTACTCGAATCTAACGTGCACCTTTTTTCCGGTTAAGCGAGTTCATAAATCGCATGCGCGTTAGAATCGAGTACGAACAAAAAAATTACGGTCAATCTATTGCCATCGCAAATCCAAAATGCCCGCCCCCTACGTGCGTCGGCATGGCGCGTCGGCCATTTCTGCCTATGTGTTTCCCATGTGCGGCACTTCGTACGTGTGCTGAGGAGTTCGTCATCTAGTAGTGCATTAGCATCGACGGCGTGGAAGGGCCGACTCCAAAAACTCGAGTGCACCACGATGCCGCTTTTAAAAGAAAAGTCATCGTGTGTGCAGAAACGGACGAAAATCGGGCCGCATCGCGGTCGTTCGGAGTTCCCGAAACGTGCGTGCGGGACCGGCGGAAACAAAACCAGAAGATTGTCGACAGCAAAGCTTCACGCAAAGGCTTCAGTGGACCACAGCAGGGTCGGTTTCCGCAAATTAAAGAGCTGCTCGGCGAGTATGTGCTTGAGCAGCGAGCGGCACAGCGGTCCGTGACGACAAAACTGTTCCAAGTGCGGGCTATGCAATTAGTCTTAGAAAAAGGTCTAATGCGGAGCCAGTTTAAAGCGAGCAGGGGCTGGCTAACTAACTTTATGAAGAGGAAAGGCTTTTCCCTCCGAAGGGGAACATGCATATGCGAAAACTTTTGCGGAGGAGTACGATGAAAAGCTTCACAGTTTTCAGAGGTTCGTCCTAAACTTGCGGCGCAACAACGGCTACCTGCTTGGGCAAATCTGGAATGCCGATCAGACGCCTCTTTACTTCGACATGCCTGGCACCACAACCGTCGAGAAGAAGGAGGCGAAGCAAGTTCGCGTGCTGACACTGGTCCACGGTAAAACTACAGTGACGACAATGCTCTGTTACACGTCAGATGGGCACAAGCTTCGCCCGTACCTCATATTTAAATCGAAGACGCTCCCGAAAGGAGTCGTTTTTTCGAGTGGTGTGATCGTGCGGGCCAGTGAAAAAAATGGGTGCGCGTTGCAGTCGATGTCTTAAGTTTTTTTTGTTTTTTTTTTTCGCAGCGGAAATCGGGTGCGCGTTACAATCGAGGGCGCGGTAGAATCGAGTAAATATGGTACAAGCTGCCTAGGGCTATTTATGTAGCAGATTGCTACAAGCACGCTTCTAGGCACTGGCTCCAAAGTTTCGTCGTCCTCACCATTCGATTACAGTGAATCGCTTTTGCCGTGCATGGTTCCGTAGCGTTGGCATCATTTATCGGCCGTGTGAAATTATCGCAACAGATGCCCCGCACACCCTCCCATGTCCGAGTCGGCGATGCACTTCAGGCTCGGCATCGGGTTCGACATCGACGAAGTCAGCCTCGCGAAAACAATTTTGCACACATGCAGCCTTCACACCGCCGCACACAAAGCGACAAGTTAGTTGCCGTGCTATCAACCAATATGAGCAAGTGCTCTGCAAAGGGGCACCTATAGTAAGACTTAACGTGCAGATTACGCCGAAGCCAAGTGATCGGAATTTTGAGGTTTTGTTCAGCGGAAGAAAAAAGCACGGAAGGCTTTCAGTCTGCCAACCTGACCACACACGCACACCAACAATGATCAAGACAGGCACGTGCGACACAGAAACCAACACACGTGGAACTGCTCTGGGCCCGTTTCTAGTGAGAAAATGTAACTTCTGAATTCGAGCCAGCGTCGCCAGCATGGCTTGCATTGGGGAGTGGTGGTGACAAGCGAAGGAGTTGCGACTCCTTCCCCTATTATTACTTTAGAGCAATTTTAGGGGCAAAGCTCCTTATGGGCTAGGGCAGTCCATTCCTCCGGCGCAGCCAGCGCAGCATATCCACATACAGACAGACAGAGCAATGGACAAATGCTTCACCTCACTCGTCATCATTCACTCCGTGGATATGCTGCGATTTTTTACGCTTCTGAACGCGCCCCGCCGCGGTGGTTTAGTGGCTAAGGTACTCGGCTGCTGACCCGCAGGTCGCGGGTTCGAATCCCGGCTGCTGCGGCTGCATTTCCGATGGAGGCGGAAATGTTGTAGGCCCGTGTGCTCAGATTTGGGTGCACGTTAAAGAACCCCAGGTGGTCAAAATTTCCGGAGCCCTCCACTACGGCGTCTCTCATAATCATATGGTGGTTTTGGGACGTTAAACCCTACAAATCAATCAATTACGCTTCTGAACGTGTGTGAAGGGCATGCTGAGCGGAGTGCGAAGTGAGCGAGAACAGATCCTAAACACGGAACGAATCAGGAATTATCAAAGTTGGAGATTGTGCACAAGTGCATGCTGTGGAACGATATACGGCACTGACGCAGACAAGACACAGACACGGACAGCCGAGGGTGAAAGAGTGTCGTCAATTCGCTCTTTTGCCCCGCTTGGGTACAGCAGGTGTCCCATCACGTGCGTTGCCGCTGGACGGGCAGTGCGTGGACAAGCCCGTACAGCCGATGGCCAACGATGTTGGCAAATGGTCTGGTTACTCCAGGCCGGCGACGCTAACGATAGCGTAACAATACCAGCGATCAGAAACAGAGGGGAGACTACCGTAATTACTCGAATCCAACGCGCACCTTTTTTCCGGTTAACAGAGTTCATAAATTGCATGCGCGTTCGAATCGAGTACGAAAAAAAAAATTAATACGGTTATTCTATTGAAATCGGCATTTCCAAAATGCCCGCCCCCTACGTGCGTCGGCATGGCGCGTCGGCCATTTCTGCCTATGTGTTTCCCATGTGCAGCACTTCGTACGTGTGCTGAGGAGTTCGTTATCTTGTAGTGCATTAGCATCGAAGGGCCGAGTCGAAAAACTCGACGAGCGCACCACGATGCCGCTTTTAAAAAAAAAATCATCGCTTGTGTAAAACGGACGGAAATTGGGCCGCATCGCGGTCGTTCGGAGTTCTCGAAACATGCGTGCGGGACTGGCGGAAACAAAAGCAGAAGGTTGTCGACAGCAAAGCTTCATGCAAAGGCTTCAGTGGACCACAGCAGGGTCGGTTTCCACAAATTGGAGAGCTGCTCGGCGAGTATGTGCTTGATCAGCGAGCGGCACAGCGGCCCGTGACGACAGAACTACTCCAAGTGCAGGCTTTGAAATTAGCCTTAGAAAAAGGTCTAATGCAGAGCCAGTTTAAAGCGAGCAGGTGCTGGCTAACTAACTTTATGAACAGGAAAGGCTTTTCCCTCTGATGGTGAATGGACATATGCGAAAAGTTTTGCGGAGGAGTACGATGAAAAGCTACACAGTTTTCAGAGGTTCTTCCTAAACTTGCGGCACAACAACGGCTAACTGCCTGGGCAAATCGGGAATGCAGATCGGACGCCTCTTTACTTCGACATGCCTGGCACCACAACTGTCGAGAAGGAGGCGAAGCAAGTTCGCGTGCTGACACTGGTCCACGGTAAAACTACAGTGAAGGCAAAGCTCTGTTACATTCAGATGGGCACAAGCTTCCCCCGTACCTCATATTTAAATGGAAGACGCTCCCGAAAGGAGTAGTTTTTTTGAGTGGTGTGATCGTGTGGGCCAGCGAGAAAAATGGGTGCACGTTGCAATCGATGTCTTACTTTTTTTTTTTCGTCGTGGAAATCGGGTGCGCGTTACAATCGAGGGTGCGGGAGAATCGAGCAAATACGGTAGTTTGTCTTCGAAAGATCGGGGGCAGTGTGGAAACATGGGCCTCGTCTGGCGACGCGGGGTGCTCAGAGTAGCAGGGGGGCACCACAATGTACGACGGGGTGCGTTAGAAAAATGGTCGGGGAGAGGGACAAATAGAGGGAAGTGGGGTTGGCGTTTCACTATAAGAATCTATGGGCACTTCGCCGATGGGTAATGGGTGGTCGAAAGTAGTTTCCAGGAAGTCGCTGCAGCGCCGACTCTGTTAGCTGTAACCGATCGGGGACGCTCATATATATTTGTTACAAGCGCGATTTCGTGCCATTGAAATAATGTATATTTCATAGTGCAAAACAACAAAAACGGCAACCAAGGTGAGATACACAAAATTTAGAAAGACGCTTAGGCTCCCCACACGGGAGCCTTGTTCACAGTGACCGCTATTCCGTCACAGTGACAGAAGCACACACCAGTCGTTTTCTAAGCTTCAATTGTGTGCACCCATACTGCCATAAATGTTCTGTTGTGTGTACACTCGTAAAGCGTGCTTGGAGGATTTGTTTTAAGGAAGAAGACGCAGTAGAAGATGTTGAGTCCGTTCGACGGGAGCTGGCTACTTGCAGATACCCGCTTTCCTTCATGAACTCGGTGCAGCGACAACTGCAGCGTCCGGCTCAGTCACACACCATTGCTACAAGAAAACGCGCATCGGTGCCTTACGTCCCAGGCTTCAGCGAGACCTTTGCTCGGGTATTGCGCGGCTACGACGTCCAAGTGGCTCACGTTCCGATACGAAAGCTCCGAGGCCATCTTACAAATGTCAAAGATAAGTTGGACAGACATAATTTTCCCGCCGTGGTGTATAAAATTCCTTGCAAAGACTGTGAATACGGATACATTGACAAAACGGGCAATTACAAAAGAAGTCTCGGGGAACATTTTAATGACGTCAAGAACAAGAAAGTAACTTCTAATGCCCTCACAGAACATGTTGAGCCTACTGGGCACGCTATCGACTGGGATAAAGCCTGCATCATTGCCACGGAAAGAAAGTTGTTA